ATCTGTATTAGTCAGGGTTCTCCAAAGAAACAGAACCAATAGAATGAATATATATGGATAGAGATTTATCAGTTTAGCTCACAGAATAGAGTCCAAGCATTCCAACAAAGGCTGCACCACACTGGAGAGGCTCAGAATCCGTAGTTGCTCAGTCCACAAGGCTGGATGTCTCAGTAGTCCCAATCTGGCCCTGAAAGTCTGATGAATTCCAAAAGATCAGCTAGTCTTCAATCTACAATGGCAAAATGAACTCACCAGGGAGAGAGAAGGCAAGCAGAGAAAAGCAAAAAACCATTTTTCTCTGCCATGGCCTTTTATATGGGCTGCCATCAGAAGGTGACACCCACATTTAGGGTGTGTCTTCCAGCTTCAGATGATCCAATTAAGAAGATCTCTCTCATTTCAGTTAATCCCAGATCCAGTCAAATAGACACCAAGGATTAGCCATCATACTAGGTATGTGAAAGAAACTAAATTTTGAAGAAGATTCAACAGGCTTGCAAATATACCCACCGTAATGATATTTAATTACTAAAATCCATTTCATTTCCTTGTTTGTCAGTTTGGTAAGTATTAAATGATATACTCAGGTTGTGACTTATATCCACTAAGTTCTGGCCTTGTTCTTCATATAAATGCACACAGTTTTCACACATTTGACCCCAGTTTTATTCACTAAATTTTCTCTCAAGGGAATCTACTGCTGTTTCTGATTGCCATAGAACACTGGCAGACTCTTTAAATGCTTTCATTCTGTCAAAATGTTCTGGCCTTAGGAATTCTTTACAGTCAGTTTATCTCAAAGTCTTCTGGGTCAAGAGTGTGGGGAAAAAGAACAAGGTTGTTAGCCTTCTGTCTATCATCCTGTGACCTGTTGGGTCTGGAACTCTAAATAATCCTCAGACTTTCAGAGGTTCCATCCCTTGATAGGGGCACATTTCTCATGACCAGTTTTCTGAGTCAGGATCTAATAATACCCTCAGCATACTTGTCTTTTGTCAATACATATGACACAAAGTCTGAAGAATTCCTGCTGAATTGCAGTGGTAATGGAGGAATTTATAATTAGTTCTAATGTATTTGAGACCTAAAGTATATTAACCTTTCAGCAAAGAGAAAGAGAAAACAGAGCATTAATATAGGTGGATGGTAATTATTTCAGAGCTCATAATTATTCTCCAGTTAACTACAGAGAAATGCTGATATTTTTATTCTTTAAAAAATTAAAGGTATCATGGCTAGTGGCTAGATTTCAAAGTGTAAGATTGTGTCACACTTCCTTTATAAGGGCCGAGGCTGAGAAAACTTTCTGGAGATCACAAAGAAACTATTTTGGAATTAAATGAGGTCAAAGTTTATGAGTAGGCATTCCCTTTACCTTGCTTAGCTCTATGGATTCATTACTGAATCTATTTATTGCCTATAGTAGATATAAAATATAGTAATTACTCTTACTTCCTTTCAAAATGACATGAGTGCTACTTTTCTATTAACTCTAATGAGAGTTTTGTGTGCATTCCTCTGGGAGGAGAGCCCCATTTTGTTTCAAGGCAAAATAAATCGCTTCTTCATACAGGGTAGAGTGGTTCTCATTTCCTTTATATTTGCTGCTTTAAGATACCTATATTAAACTTCTGATATTGGAAATGCAATATTTGTTGTTTAAAAAAAGCATAAACTTTATATGGAGTGTTGTTACGACATTCATTCCTGTTCAACGGGTAGATGCTCTACCCTTGGGCAAATCAGGCCCCTCAACTTACAAGCATACATGGGCTGTAAAAGGTGATAGTCTGTTTGTCACAAGAACATTAAGACTAGCTACTTTTTTCTTTCTATTTAAAGCATGGTTACCTCACTGACCAACTGTAGCATTTTAGGATAAGGAAAATAAGAGCCAGAGTTGCTAATGGACAGTGGGCTATTTGGCTTATAGCACTGGAATATGGACCCTTGAAGTCATGCAGAGATCTCTTGCTATGAAAACCAGGATGTGTTTACTCCATTGAAACTTACTCAAAGAAACTTCCACTGAGTTCTAAATTTTCAACTCTGTCTTTTTAGTTTATTCTTGGTGTGTTTTGGTATAGATTTGAAAGAAATCTGCTTTCTTTCTTTTCATGATGATTTTTCCCCAAACTATTACCAACCCTCATCTTCCCATGCAACTTAAAATAATCAGATGTATAGGAAAATCATGAGAATATGAAACACAGTTATGCTTAGATCCCTAAAATAAAGCTAGAATCTAGTCTATGGTAATAATTTGGTATCGTTGAATGATGCTTTTATTTGGAGAACTCAACTTCATCTTTCTCTAGACTGATGTCTTCATGCATTCATGATGCTGAATCAGTGTCTACATCCAATCGTAACTCATCAGATTGGTACAGTATATAGATTTACAAACTACTCTGTGTCTGTTAAAAGGTACACAGCTTCCTGAAGATGGAAGGGACAGGGCAGCACCATATGTGGGCAAAGCTCAGTCAGCCACTCCAGCCTTAGACATTCTCCCCACCTCACCCAGAATAAATTCCACAACTTTCTACTTAGCCATATAACAGTGGAAAACTTTTCCCACATGCAAAGAAATAGAAGATCAAGTCAAAAAATTCTTTTTACTACTGCATTTCATGTAGGTTTAGAAGAAAACAGTTCTGTAAACATGTGAAACATGGAAAATTCTTGGCTCTGTAGCTGTAGAACATGCATGGTTTCCAATAGATCATAGGAATTGCCTTAGATACCCTAGAAGGGGAGGAAAATGCACTTCTATCCAAATTGTCTAAGGCAAAAATCTTATAAAACTCTGATGTGAGGACAGGGATTCCATTGTGATAAGTTTCACATGTGCTTTGAAAGACTCTCAAACTGATGAGTCAGGAAAAAAAAAAAAAAAGAAATTGAGCTCATTTGACAGGTTCCTTTAAAAGCCAAGAATTAAATAAGTTATTTAGTTAAAATTATAAAGTGGATAGAGATTTGGAAGCAGTAAATACCACCATTCTCAGTTTTTGTTTTTAACCAGAAAGTAAACCTTATCTCTATAGCATCCTGCAAAATAACAAGGTGGGAGTTAAAAAAAAAAAAACAACAAAAAACAGGCTTTGGGAAATTATAGGAAAATAAAAAATTTGGAAAACATGGTTTACTAAATTTAGTATTTTGAATGATGCCTTGAAATTGGAAATATCTCAAGAATTCTGTCTGCTATTTTAAATTTTAAAACTAAAATATTTTGGGGACTGTAACAACACAATCGCATGAACACCAGACAACCTTAGCTGTGCCTTTTGCATTTAAACAGCATTATATTAAGTAACTGTAGGTATCTGTGAACTTGCAACTGACAGTCAATTAATGTCAATTATTACTTTCTTCCATGATTCCTCATATAATTATGTTTGAAGGTGTGTTTATAAAGGCATATAAATTAATTTTTGGTGCACAGTCACCCTGTCTTTGTTTGGATGACCTTGAAAGCATGACCTTCTAATTGAAGTTTCCAGTAGGTTCTTTCTAGTACTTTACTTATTTCTAGTTTTTAAATGCTTCAATCTTTGCAAATTATTGATATTTTCAATGATATAATTCCGAGCTGATGAAATAAAAACATACTGTATTTCATTTTTCCTTCTATTTCTGGGATGGTGTTTTCCATTCTTTGAGGGTTGTTATAGTAGATTTAGTTTTAAATTACAAGCATAACACATAGAATCTTGAAAAGACTTGCAAATCTTTCTCAAATGTTTAACAATCCTTTTCCAGTGAAGTGTGCTTAGAGTTAATGCTTGCCTCTTTACTACCTACATTATTAAAATCAATAATGGTTTTATTTTCTTTCTCCCTTCTCTGTGACTCTTACGTTTGCATGACAAAATCCTCCTGCTTATTGATGTGGTTGGCTGTCTCTTAACTAGCGTGTCCTGTGTTTGTAGTGATTGCTTTTTGCATGAGGATTACGAATTGTCATATAAATTAAATGGTCGTAGAACTAGAAAGAGACTGCGAGGCCTCACTTGCTTTCCTGTGTGTTGCATATGTCAACTGTGTGCCACTTAAAATTACTGTCACAAGACCTTTGACTTCCCCTTCGGTGTGTTTCTTTATTCTAGCAAATTAGCACTGTTTAGGATAATAAAACATTTATCAAACATTCACAGCGTTTTAATACAATTATTCTTCTAAAACATGATATTATTATAAATAACTATACTGAGCATGAAATTGCAGAAGGCCCTAATTCCATTATGCTACAAAATTGATTATGAAAAATAATTCCTAACTGTGTAACTACCTCGATAGTTAAATACTGACTTCTACTGTTGGTGCCTTTTCTCTACCACAGGGTGAAATTATCTGGTCCTAGATGCCTGCAGGTGTCAAATGTCTTAAAACCACAGCTAATATCTAAAAGAAAACACATGGGGGAGTACTTGAGTCTTGGCAAGTAACTTTAAGAGGCACATTTTTTTTAAAAAAAAAAAAAGAATGTATGAATTAAAAATGTGTAAGTGTTGACGTTCTTACAAAGATAGAAAGGAGGGAAAGCAGAAAAAGAACAACTTAAAGATGTTTATGTCTCTTTTCTTAATGTTATTATCTTGTCCCAAGTTAAACAATGCATTTGACCTGCTTTATTGCTGTCACCAATATAAATAGAAAAGACCCAGAATAACTGTATTTTCAACTAATAAAATGGTTTATATTTTTGTATGCAGTGGGTATTTTTTTTTAAATCATTCATTTTGCCTATGACTGAAATATCAAAACACAATGTATTTTAAATGCTGAATATGTTCATAAACTAAATCTATGATATATTTTGGGGAAGGGAACTTTTTTCTTAAACAAAATCAACTGTGATATAACCACTTCCCCACTATTTTTTGAAATATCCTTGAGAATTTTAGTACTTACATTTATTTTTCCCCCTCAGTCTTGTTTATTCTTGAATTGTCTTTTTTTTCCCTCCATTTCTCCATTCTCAATCCTAGGTCCCCTAACAAAGAAACAGACAGATGATTTAGGTGATAATGACGGTGCTGAAGATGAAGGTATTTTTTTTCCACCAAATCTATTTGCATGACCAGGGTTTCAATCATTTTTTCCACCCCTTTCTATATATATATATATATATATATTTTTTTTTTAACTTCTTTATATATATATACGAAAACATAAGTAAGACTAAATACATGTAAAACTAAATACATGTTCAAAAATGTGATAAAACCCTTGATTT